GCGCACGTGCGTGTGTTTGTGTCGGGGCCGGGGCCGCGCGCCGCCCAGTCGCCCCGGGAAGCGTCGGGGCCCGTCCCCACCTGGAGACGGGGGACTCTCGCCCCTCGCTCCTCTGTCGCTTCCCCCGCCTTCCTCCGCCCCCCAAAGCGCTCCCAGGAAGAGTAGCTCCAAGTGAACTCGCTGCAGCTGACTCCTGGGCAAGGAGCGTCACGCGCCTTTTAATTTTACAAATTAAAGAGATCTAGCTCAGTGTTGGCGGGAAATGCATTAGGTTCCCCCTCCCCTCTCTCTAGGGCTGCGAAGTCTCCAAAATTTGGGGAATGATTTGGGGAAGGGCCTTCCTCCCCGCCCCCCCCCCTCCCCGCAGTCTTGATGCCACTGTTCCACCACCTTTGGGGTAACAAGGAAGGGTACAGCCCCTCAGTCTGCAATTCAGCTGGGCAGGAGTGGGGGCAAGGGGAGGTCTTCGGCGCCTGTGCAGATTCCAGGATCCCACTCCTCAGACACCATTCAGCAGTTCCCACTCCACCCCTGACACAGCGCACACCACCCACTGACCCACCCAGGGGCTGCATACAGGCCAGGGTCAGGTTTCTATCCCTGGAATCTTCAAAACCCTTCCCAGCCTGGGGGGCCATTCATCCCTGGGGCCTGGCCACTATTGCCGTTTCTGAACCAGTGCCGGCTGTGTCACCTCCCCTCCTGGAGCAATATTGCATTGTAGTTTCTCTATTACCGAATCCTTAAGATGAAGGGCCCGGGGTCTTCTTTAGGGCGGCCCTTGAAACACCAAGAAGCTGGTCACAGTCTGTGTTCCTGGGGGTTAGGCACTGGGCGAGGGCATGTAAGGAGGGCCTAGACCTTATGATTCAAGGCTTGAGCTATCCGGGTGGTAGACCCGGGGGGAAGGAACGCCCTTTTTATTCTTTCTCACCTCTTACAACAGCAAGAGCAAGACTGAAATGAATGTCTCAATACATTAGCCTGCTAAGAGTTTTAAAAAGAATTTATATCTGTCACATATGTTTTACGACGAATTTAAGTGAGTGCAGTATCTCTTCAAGGGATGTTAACAGGATAACCTTATGCATAGTGTGAAAAGGTCTTTTTCCTGTTCCTTCCAGGTGTCTGTGATAAGGTGGGGAGGTTATCAGGCAGCAGGAAATCCTGAAATGACCTCACATCCCGTCTCTATTGCCGCGCAACAAATAACCCCCAAACTCAGTGATTTAATACAATGATACACGCTTACTGTCTTCCACTGACGGTTTCTGACGGTCAGACTTTCAGGAGCGCTTTGGCAGGCGGTTCTGGCTTGGTGGGGGTCTCTCATGCCCTTGCAGTCATGTCAGATGCAGCTACAGTTATTGGAAGGCTTGGCTGAGGGTGGGGCTAGAGGCTCACTTCCATGACTCACGCCTGTGGCTGGCTGTTGGCAGGAGGCCTTGGCTGCTCTTCCTGAAGGTCTCTCCACAAGACTGCTTGAGTGTCCTCGTAGCCTGGTAGCTGACTTCCTTCTGAGCAAGATGTCCAAGAGAGAGCAAGGCAGAAGTCACATTGACCCAGCTCTCTGAGGTCACACCTGTCACCTCCACATTGGTCGCAAGGACCAGCCCTGATTCAGTACGGAAGGACAGTACACGAAGGATGGATACCGGGGGAGAGGGTCATTGGGGCTGGCTATCACGCACATCATCTCTAAAGTCACATCTATTTTTTAATTCTGAAAAATTTCAAACATACACAAAAGTAGAGAAAATAATACAACGAACTCCCATATAACCATCATTCCTGTTCAATAATTATTAAGGAAATTCCATCATTTTATTTTGTAATGTGTCCCTGAGAAACACATGCCTTTCCCACCTCACCCTCCATCCCCCTAACTTTCCTTAGTTGCAGTGTTCCAGGCCCTCTCTTTCTCACCTTCCCCCTTTCTGCTATGTTTAAAGGATAGAGGAGAGACAGACAGAAAGAATATCCCTTATGCTGGACACCAGTCTCAAGTGTGAGTGTCTGCAGTTTGGAGAGGTCCCCACAGATACAGTCCTTAATCAGTCTTTCCCCCTACCCAGCTCATTCAGAAGTAACCATGCCATTTTCAGATTTTAATGTGCATACAGATCACCTGGAGATCTTGTTAATGTGATGATTCTTAATCAGTAGGTCTAGGGTGGGGCCTGAGATTCTTCATTTCTAACAAGCTTGGTGATGGAGACACTGCAGGTGCTCCACAGGCCACACTTTGAAGAGCAAGGGTCTAGAGCTGTGCTGTCCAAATCGGTAGCCACTAGCTCCCCATGGCTATTTAAATTAATTAAAATTAAATAACATTATAAATCACTTCTTCAGTTTCCCTAGCCTCCTTTCAAATGTCCAATAGCCACATGTGACTGGCTGTACTGTTGAACATAATCACAGAATTTCCATTGGACTGCAGTGTGTAGAAAATTGACTCATGATGACTTTCCCACAGCTGCCTTCTAGACCAGAACAACCATCTATTAGTTCACAACAAAAAGAGAACCTTGGCAGGGTAAATAGCAACAGGCTGTTTACGGTGGGTATTTATTTCCTCTTGCTGGAATGGATCAACCCAGTATCCTTAAATACAATTTGGAAGGTTGTTTGGTTAGCTTGGCATATAAACAAAAGAGGCTGGCTATGTCTACCAGGTTATGAGACTGGATGAATTGCTTTTCTCTCTACTGGAAGTATTTTTTTTCTCAATAACTAGTACTGGGCATCACAGTCAGAGCTGGAGACTGCAGCCACCTTTTAACTCCTTTGCAAAGACTCCGTGTGGCCGGCCACCCTTCTCTAGGACAGTGCAGTCTGATATGCTGGGCACACTTGGGTGCCCATTTCACATTGTATATATGTCCTTATAAAACATTTTATCTCCTATTTTGTCTGCTTACATGTCCACTTCCCCATCGGACTGCAAGCTCCCTGAAAGCAGTGATTTGCCCTAGGTCTGGCTCTTAATAGGCATTCAAAATATGTTTGTTGAATTAATGTATTAATAATTGCATTAAATTAGCATATTTATTATATATTAGTCTTGATGCCTGTTGTAGGTAGAGCATAACGTTTGGGCTTGGACAAGTCACAGCTACTGACTGTGATTTTGGTATCTCACTTTGTTCTACCAAATCTCATTCCATTATCTGTGAAATGGGAACAAGACTAGCACTAACTATGAGCTTCATAGGGTTATTTGGGGGATCAAATGAGCTAACAGCTGTGAAAGTACTTCATTGTTTATAACTATTATCTTTTACAAATTTTTGTTTTCTCCATTAGAGTTAGGAGAGCCCAGTCTTGATGTCAACATGTGTACAGATTACCTTGCATGACTGTCTGCCTTGTTCCCACATTCTGGGATGTCGCCCATTTGGAAGATTCATTCATTTTTTAGAATATATCTTTATTGATTTCAGAGAGAGGGAGGGAGAGG